TCCTCCTAGATCTTGGCAGTTTGAACCCGCCTACCCGCTGGATTATAATTTTATGCGCCTTTTTCAAATGTGAGGTAAGCAACGAATTTTTAGCAAAGCCTTTCCCACAACCGGCCTGCTCACAGAGGAAGGGCCTCTCACCCGTGTGAACTTGCCGGATGTGGCCCTGCAGGAAGGAATTGGTCGTGTAGCCCTTATCACAGTGGGGGCAGGGGAAACGGATCGGGGCGTCGTAGCCGGGCGTGTGGATCCGGTCGATGTGACGGGTCAACTCCTTCCTCTGCTTGAAGGCGTAGGTGCAGTGGGGGCACGGGAAGGGGCGCTCGTTAGTGTGGGTCCTGGCGTGATCTTGCATGGATCGTTTGTTGCTAAAACTGGCCGGACAAATCTGCAAGGGGGCGGAAAATTTTGAGGTTCTGTAGACATTAATCGAGATTCTGTAACTTACGTCACATTTGTGCGGCTTAGGATGAGTCGTATCCCCTGCGTGTGACATCATGTGAGACTTTAAGCCTGGTAGAGTCAGCAGGCGTGCGCCACTATTTTTAGGGAAAAAATTAAGGGATGGTTTACCGGTAGGGGGGTTACGAACTTAAAATTTAATTACCACTCCTCGCAAATGAAGGGATCAGCGCCGTGTTGCCTGATCTGGTGGGAGGTCAAACTCTTGGTGTCGACAAACTTCTCGCCGCACTGGTCACAGACAGGCCGCTTGGATTCGTCGTGACGTTTGAGGTGTTTGTTGAGGTGGGCGACGAGGCGGAACTGCTTTCCGCAGATGTGGCAAGTTTGTGACCTTGAGGGATCGTGGGTGGGGGCGACGCTTCTGAAGGGGAAGATTGAGGGCAAAATTGGTAAGAAAAAATATTTATAAAAAATTGTAGGGCAAAAAATGTACAAAATTATTACGAGCTTGCAAAATATTGGCGTGCAAAAAAGTGTACAAATACCGTGTCGCCGTAATTTTAAGCCATGTTGACGTTGACGTTGACGGAGTGGAGGTGGGAGGCTCGTTGGCGACGTCACTTAAGGGGTCCGTCATCTCGAGAACTTCGGGGGAGTAGACGGTACAATAGTCGAAGGAGATTTCGTCCAGCTCAACTTTGACCTCGGGGAGGTCTGTTTCCTCGACAAGTTGGACTTCTTCGTGCTCCATCTTCACATCTGTAGAATTTCGTATTACTAACAGGATGGAATTATTTGAGGAAAATAATTAAGTTAAGTGACACAAATGTTGGAGAAAGTAAATAATTTACGATTTTGTAAGATGGAAAAATCTGTTGACTTACCTGCGTTTAATCCGAGATTAATTTACTACCAAATAAATTAACTTACTCACTTTAAAATTCTCTTAATTATTAGTTAATTACTAACATGAGGAATTAAATATTTAATTGAAAGTGAAAGTAGAGTGTAATGTTTTGCGAACCAGGTGGGATTGAATTCGTGCCAAAACCGGGATCAGTGAGATTCAGGCTGCTCAAGTGAACAACGAGAAATGCATGAGGAACGCTATGCAGAAATAAGTATTTTTCAGGAAATTTATGAATTTTTAGGAAATGTGAAATTACGCATTTCCAGAAAATAATTAACCCACGCTATGAACTTGTTAAATGCCAGTATTATGTAATTTAAGACTTCATAATTCTTAAAGAAATAGGGAATGAATTTGTTTCATATTACGCAAAATTAGTAAGGTTAAAATTTTATGTCTGGTTAATTGCACCCATGTTTTATTACTGGCGGTGATTGCCAATTATTTTTGTGGTTTGTGGTATAGCAACTTAAGTGTGGAAGCGAGTTGAGCTAGGGAACGAGAAATTGGTTGACCTCGCACGCTGAAAAAGAGCATTTTTTCCTACTTTGAGGTCAAATTGCGAAACTCTAAGTGAATTTTATCGAAAATAAAATCTGGTCGATAACATCTTAACTTTCTAAATGGCATCCCTAGATTGCTATAGCCTATTAAATGCTGTCATTTTAAAGAATTCATAAATTTTTCCATATTTTTTATTAATAGTTTCACTCCCTCAATTACATAAACAAGTTCCGAAACTCATAAGAAAAAACATGGAAACCCTTGGTAAAATTTACGTTAAAATTTGTAATTGCAAGTAAGATGTTTACACACTTGAAAATTTAAACAAATTTGCAGAGTTAAATGAGTAAAATATTTACAAATACATAGTGAACAATTCCTTCATAATTTCAATCGTATCTGGCACAGAACGTCCCTTAGAAAGCCTTATAAACGAAAATAAACGCGGCCAAAATTATTTTGTATAACCAAACTAGTCCGAATACCACCCGCCCAAAGTACTCATACCCCTTAGAGAAACCGAACGATTTCTTAATGCTATCAAACCGTTTTGCATATTGCGGACCAAAGTTTTCCTTTCCAACCACCAAGAGGGTATTGAGTAAGAAAAACGTGGATAATTTTCTAGAAATTGGGTTTTTCAAGACATCAAACATCACGTGGTCCTTGGCGGCACTAATTATTTTTTCTGTAAAGGTCAAGGCCTTGTAAGTGTTGGTGGCTTGAATTTGGAGAATGTCCTTAAGTGTCCAGTACATCAGAATGTTTGGCGAGATGGAAGTAATTCCTTGAAGACCCTGGATTTTTTAGGAACAAATTGGGACAGAAAATGTCACAAATTAAGTATTATTCTTCTATTTTTTAAAGATTAACTTTATTTGAAACCTGAAACGTAACATCTGCCACGAAAATGGCATCCTTCTCGGCATGGAATAGACTCGGGATAGCGTACCGTTCAAATATCCCGCGGTAAACTTCCCGCGCTGATTTCAAATTGGGGCGAAGTGCGATGTTGTACTTATCTTCGATGCCTACCAAATATCCGAGGATTGCCCAGAGATGGTTGAAAGCGGAAAGGTCGTCCTCATTTGGGCAGGAAATTCCGAGCCGTTCAGGAAAAAGGATGGGAAAGCCGATAAAGGCGAATTGGATGAGGGCTAGGATTTGCTGGTTGAATGGTACCGCGTTGAAAATTTTCTCGTTAGATGGCGCAATACCGCGCTGGCTTGGCGGGATGTTTGAATTGTTAAGATCCTTCTTTGCGGCGGCCCACGCGGCGGTGGGGGCATAGTCGGAAAATTCACTCGCGTCGGATAGGATTTCTCCGCGGGAGATTTTTTTTGAAGCGGCGCAGGCAAGAGCGGAATGCAGGGCGCGGACTCTGTTTAAACTGTAAGTATCGATACGATTAGTAAAAAGAGTCGAGTTTTTTTTTAAAAATATTATGAAATTTGGGCAAACCTTTTATAAATATCGGTAATATTTCCATCTGATCCAGACTCCCAGAAGGGATCGGTATACCACGTGATTATCTCGGTAATGGTTGAGGTGTACCGCTTAGTGGCGCTTGCCGGGGTGGAAAAGTTTCCAGAAAGGAGCAAGATGTCGATGCCATCGGTATAAGGACTACTTGCGAGACCGAACATGTGTGAGATGGAAATTGAGGGGAGGTTATTTCTAGCGAATTGTTGACCTCTTCGCGCTAAGTTGAAATCTAGCCAAGCGGGAGGTTTGCGATCTGGGTCGATCTTAGCGGGAGGGATGGTACGGGCGCCTTTCAAATCTAGGAAGAATTCTTCTATGTTTAATTCCGAAGGACTGAAATTAAAATAATGTATTAGGAAATTTTTTTAAATGTTTAGATATTTGTGAGTTCTGGAAATATTGACAGAATACAGACCAGTTTAACAAATAGTACACTAAAATATCTAGTGATACAGCCGTTACCGATATGACTACCGAAATGGTAAAAATTTACCACAGCAACAGTGGTAGATTTTGGTGGTGGTGACGTTATTATAACAGCGATGGTAGCGCATGCCAAAATCTACCTTGTGGTAGATTTCTACCATTTCGGTAGAGTCATATCTAGTTACCGCAGATAACAAGCCATATTAAAAAAATTGTGAGTAAACTGACTACCGTAAGTTAGATGGATAATGCATCAAAAAATCTTACCAAACGGAATTTGTTTTCTTAGCGAAGACTTCTCCCATTTTTATTTTTTTCGACGTTGAAGCGGTCTGACACTAATTATAATGGAGAACAACCTTTATATATCACAAAGAAGGTGCTCAGAGTAGAAAACCAAATCTACGTGATTCGTTAAGGTTGCCGTGGAACCCATTCAAAAGTGAAGCGATGAGAAACATCTTCATTAAAAACATCTCTATAAATTTTTTAGTAATAATTTAAGTCATTAAACTCGTATTATCATAATCACATGGCATATCACTTAAGATAAGAAGCAGCTATATTTTTTTACTTACACAATGGGAAATCTTTTGAACCGGTGGATACCAAATATGATACGAATCGGCATGAATGTATCAACTTATATATTTACCGGATCGGTCTATCTGTCTGTCTGTCCCAGACGCATCCCTTCAATGTATTAATCACTCCAACATATTAAATCAACCAGAAGTCACTAACGTGATTTGTTGTGTGAACTATGAAATTTCGGAAACGTGAGGTGGGTGTGTCACATTAAATTTTGATTTACGAATAGTTAAAGGGATATGCGCTATTTTTCCGCTAAAATATATTTTTAATTATATCCGAAGCAAATGATGGGATTGCACTTGGTCCCACGGGCACCCAGAGTAGCCTAGTTGTTAAAATTAGACACAATGTGTCGCACCACCACCCATTACGCTGTTTAATCATACTTTACACCATTAGGTAGAGGATGTTGCACAACCATGAAGGAATTCCGATGGAGTAAGTATTTCCCACTGGAATAAACCAACATGGATAACCTGCCTTTTATGTCGGTCTGTAATTACAAATTTAAATAAATAAAGAAATAAAGACTTAATCAGTGAATTTAATTGATGGAGAAATATGTACACCTCGGTAAAAATTCACAGCCTGTTAAATTATATGTACAATGCAGACACTAGGTATTGTAAGTTGACTTATCAAACATAGATAAATTTTATAACTATTTTTATTGCGTATTTTTATAACTCTTTTTTATCATGGCTAACAGAAGAGACTGTTCACAGAGGATCTACTTATAACCTCAATAGTGAGCTCGAGCACCTATAAATGCGTAGCTGAATAATTTATCTATGTAATCTGAACTTACTCAAATACAGGCAAAGTGGGAAACTGCGTCATATTTAATGGATTTAATAAAAACTGGGAAATACATAAATTTACAAAAACAACATGCTTAGTTTCGGCATCGCAATCAAAGTAGAAAACAAGTTTATTATAGAACAATACTAAAATATGAACGATAATTAGTTATTCTTACAGTATTTGCGGGTTAATATAGTTTTAATTACACAAATGCTTACATCTGGAAGAAAGTTTAACAGTTTGATACTCAAATGTATTTTTTTAATCGTTGAAAATTATTCAGGATGATTTTATTGATGGAATTTTGCGCCAGGATTTTGTTGTAGGACCTTGAATAAAAACCAAGCCGGCTTGAAGTTGCTTATATTTTTAGGAATTATTTAATCTGACCAAGTTTGTTAATCTCGTCAGTGATGTCGTTAATGACTCCTTCCAACTCCTCTTTGTCCGAGAATAGCGTTTTATCCGCGGTTACAGAGATTCCCATTTTCCCCTTGTAGCTAAGATTAGTGATCATGAGGGAGCAGGATGTTTGCAGCAGCCCAACAATGGGCAGCACCCGCTCGACAGGATTCCCAAAAAATTCACATCCATCCTCTTCAAAAATAGCGATGTTAGAATGCACCAAGGTCACCGCGGCGGGAAATACTACTTCCTTTTTTAAAATGCTGGCAACTAGGGCGTTCCCGCTAAAAACAGCGGCAGCCCCGACGAGCAGGGTGGAGTTGAAAAAGTGACGAAATTGGTTGGAGATTTGGAGAAGTCTTTCCTCCCTTGAGGCCTCTAAGAGGGGCATGCGCATTGGGACCACGATTCTGCAAGAAATACAAATATTAACTCAATTAATTTAAATAACTACTCATTTTATAAATACTCCTACATATTATTCGTTAAAGTTCCTGGATGACTGGAAATATTTGGGAGAACATAGAGTGCCGTCGCGTCTCGGTTTGCCCCTCTTTTCCTCATAATTTCTCTCATTACCCCAGCAATTCCGGCGGACATGAGGGACGTCACATTGGTCCGAGTTCTGGCCGAAATTTGCTTCAGGTCCGTCATATCCAGTGCGACGAGGTTATGACCTATTTTTGAAAATTATTTCAAAAAATCTTTAACGATTTAAAAAAATATTTAAAAAAACCGCACTTACATCGGACTATTTCCCCACTCCGGTCAGGTACCTGAATCGTGAGGGGATTCGAATCAATCCCTTTCAGCAAAAGGTACGCAAATTCCGTCGGAGTGATGAAGATTAGTTGGAGGAAATTCAAAAATCTTCGCGGCCAAGATGGTGGTTTTTTCTTGTGGAATTTTCCCTTAATATTTTCCAATACGGTGTGACCCCCCTTATTGTCGCAGAAGTCGCTCAAAACTGAGATGCAGGCCAACCCGTCGCCAAGGGAGTGGTGGAGGCGCAAAATCAGGGCAGACTTGGTGCCATTTTCATAATTTGGCAGTGACACGAATTCCCACAAGGGGGCGTCTTTTCGGTACGGTTTTTCAGGGAGGGTGTCCAAGTAGTGGGTGATTTTTTCTGGGTCGGATTCCTCATTGATGGTGAGATGGCGGGAAAGTTGGAAGGTTGGGGATTTCTTCCAGAAGATGGTTCCCATCCAGCGGTGTAAAGTGCAGGATAGTTCGGGATACTAAAAAAAGGATTAAATTTATTTACGGCGGGAAGTTCAAAAATTTAAAATAATAAATACTTACTTTTTCTACGATTGACTCCAACCTGCCAATTACTTGATTTATGTCGTGCTTATTTTTTAAATAGAGCGCCAAACAGATCGAGCATGTCGGCCTTCGGTACATGTCATCCCAAGAAAAGACACTGCTCGAGACATTTAGGTGACGGTAGAGATCTGTCTTGTACGAGGCCAGGGATAAGATGAGTTTTCTGTACAGTATTAGTGGAAATATGACAAGGAGGATAACAAGTGGGAGAATGAAGGTCGATGTAAAAATTGATGCAAGGAACAGCATCAAATTTCTGAGGAGGGATTTCATTCTAAGTTTTCACGCGAATATTTAAGAAGTTGTGAGATGCACATGGGTTGAATTCCAACTAGAGAAATTCCCAAGGTATCGGGATTATGTTTGCGTACAGAGGGATGTGTACCAGGTTAGTGGATTGAATTTTTATTAGTTAGATTCACTCGTTTTTTAAACCAGTTTTGTTAACTGATATCTATTTAACATTTGGATAAAGGAGGAAATGAAATGAACTCACGGCTTTGTTACAGGATATTCTTTGTGTATTCTTGGCCAGGTTTTATTTATGGACGTAATTCTACTCGAGCGGTGGGACGATTGAGTTTATGTTTATAGGAAGATGCTTAGCATAGTTAGCTTTGTCTATAAATTGATTTTGTGCTGGACTGTGCAAGAAATTGCAGAAGTGAAAAAGAAATTGCTTAAAATTGCACGAAATACTAGAGCAGAAACCTATGTATAGTTAAATTGTGGAAAATTAATATTATGTGCCATCAGGCTCGATGCGATCAGGCCGAAGTTTTTATCCGGGGTCATGTAAAAATTCTGAACTTCTTGATATGACATTAGAATCTAATGTCATATCAAGAAGTTAAGAATTTTACAGTTCAGATACCTGTTCAGATACACTTAATCTAATGATTAGATTAAGTGTACATTTTTCCATTAAGTGCATCGTTCATAAGTTAAGAAAACTTATCATATTTAAGTACCATTATCATTTCGGATCTGTAAATTCTTCTTACACGTTCCACCAATGGCTTAAATGTGTAAACATGACTTGAAGAAATCCAAGATCTAAGGTAAGATAGGTGCATTTAAAAGTATGAAGCATGCCCCCCTCGCCCCTTAACATTACCTCGCCTACGCTGATGATAACTCGTTAATCGACTTATTCATTGATTGCCGAAAACTATTCAAAATGTTATTTATTATTGTAATAAATAACATTTAAATAGTTTAAATACGTGTTGTCGTGGAAGCGTAATTCTTAAGTAAGTATTACTTACTTAGAAGTTCTTAAGTAGATTTTTATGTATCATGCGAATATTTGTGTAGTACCTAAAGAAATTTAATGCCAATCTCTAAAGTAATCATATAATATTCCATGAACATTATATTTACTTACGCACTAATTACCTACATACAATGTCTCAGAGATTACGTCTGGAAGTAGAACTGGTCAATAAATACTTTCCTTTAACCTGCAAATGTAAAATGTTTGCTACAAAGGCTGAGAAATTGATGTGATCTTACTTGATTTGTTTCTGTGGGAACTGGAAAGTTCGTGGAGGAAAGTCGTAAAAAGTACGTGACTTGTATTCAGTACTTCTTATGGGAGTACAACCTTCAAGAGTTAGTGTATGGTTTGCGATATCCAATTAAGAAGTTGATATGTAAATAAATGTGCGATATCAATTGCGAAAATCGTGAAAATTATAAATTATGATGTGAATTTTCTTATACTAATATTTATTTTAATTTATTAAATAAATTACTTACTTTTACATGAAGTATGGGTGCGAACGTAACTTTATATATTCTCACAGATCTTTGCGAATTTCGTCTCTCGACACGTCTAATTGATTGCGGAGTTCATGGAACTAATCACTTAAATTTTGACTTGAAATTGAGTTTTTTTTAATTATTTAAAACATTTTTCTGGAAGGATGACCCCCTGCGCGGTCCGGGTTTCGAACGGGTGTAAAAGTTATTCTGCAGGAGAACCCGTCCTGAAAGATATGTTTATGCAGGTCGAACATGGAAAGATGTAAGGGGAACTTTTAGTTTAAATGGATTTTTTTTAATTAAAAATTTCATTAATTTGACATTTTCTGAAATCTTAATGTAGTTATGGACTCTTAGGCGAGAGCGGTTGTGGGTTAGTCGAGATTCCACCTGTTTTTCTTTTACCGTGAATATTTATGATCGTTTAGAATTTATCGTGTAGAAAGACGACACTTTTGAAATGTATCATGGGTCAAATTGCCCTGGATTCGGGCCATATTTCCGTCCTAGAAAGGGATGCCTGTAGATCGAGAGAGGAACTTCTTACCTCGATTGGACACATGCCCCAGGTTGGTCTAAAAAATTAATTACATTGAGGACTTAAATTTAATCGTTACTTTTTTAGGAAGTTGCCCTGTATCCGTTAAGAATTAGGGAAATATTCGAATACTTTGGAACACTTCAAGGCCTTAGTAAGATCGAGGTAGGGGTCAGAATTCGGGAATTGAGTACCGTTCTGAATTTGGAGGATGGGAATCTCTCCGTCAAAACGTTAAGGTGGAGTCATTTTATTAGTTTTTCAATTTTTGGCGCTTTCTAAAAATATTTGAAAATAGCGGCGGACAGCTTCGTCGTGTCTCGCTTGCTGTCGCGTTGTTAAATCGCCCCAGACTTTTGATCCTGGACGAGCCTACGACGGGAATTGATCCCTTGTTAAGATTGGGGTAAGGTTGTGGCGGAGTTTTCAAATTGTGGAAAAGTGATATACTTTATGGGAAATTATAGTATTTGGGACTATATTGGTGGTCTGGTAGTCACGTTGGGAACAACGGTCATTGTCACGACGCATTATGCTGAAGAGGCGAGGAAATGTGATAAGGTTTTCCAATATACAGATATAAAAGATACACTTTAAATAATTTTATTACCAGCGGTGACGATATCTGATTCTATGGTAGAAATCTACTACTGTGGCGGTATTAGATTTTCGTGGTGGTGGCGCTATTTTTCCGGCTGCGGTTATATCTGTACTACCAAACCGGTAACAATAGCGCCACCACCCCGAAAATCTAATACCGCCGCAGTACTTGATTTCTACCATTTTCGGTTGAGTCATATATCGTTACCGCTGGTAATAAACGACTTAGGGTACAATTTCCCCATCTTAATAAGGTATTATAAACAAATTTACCAATGATCATGTCCAGATCGGCATAATGCGGAGGGGTCGCTTAATTTGCGAAGATAATCCCAACAATCTCCTGGAGTCGTACGGCACTCCGATTTTAGAAGTCGTGCTGAAATCCCTTGCCAGAATGGACGAGGAGAAAAAATTACAGTCCATCGATAATCATTCTACACTAGCTAAAATATCAAGATACAAGTATCCCTTGGCAGGACTGGAATCCGATAAGTGTAGCCCATTATCTTTCCGTTTTAAGGAAAAAGACGAAACTGAAGCCTCGCTAGAAAATATTTTTATTGAGAAGGCGGAAACTCCAAAGAAGTCAAAAATTGTTGAGGAGTTTGAAAAAGTTAGAATTCTAACGAAACGGAATTATCTTCTTCACCTGCGCACACCGGAGTAAGTACACACTGCGCATCTACACAGGAAGCAATATTTTATAAGAAATTACGATTACAGGGTTTTGGCTACATTCTTGCTCCTGCCGGTTATCCAGGTCATAGCAATCTTTTACATTTTTGGCAGAGATCCTGTCGGAATGAGGTTGGCTGTGTATAACCAAGAAAGAAATTGTTTCGGTGGAAAGAATAATATGAATTATAGTCTATTGGGGGATAATTGGACGATATGGGGTTGTGCTTTTCTTAAGGAACTTGAAGAAGGGGCGGGAAAATTTAATTTGGTAAGCGGATTTCTTAGAAAACCAGTAACAGAATGAGATGCGATTCAATTTTAAATGTCCAAAAGTTTTTCCTAATGAAATTAAATTGTTGTATCCTTACTAGAAATATTATAGGTCAGGCACCTCAGCTTTGGCTGCTGTCGAAACTGGTGGAGCAATAGGGGCTGTTGAAATTCCCGCAAATTTCACAGTCAGTACTAGGCACAGATTTGTTTTTGACAGATTCACCCCAGAAATTGATTTGCGGCAGAGTACGATTAAAGTTCGGATGGATATGACGAGTAAAAAATTACTAACTTTATTAACTATTACTGAAATTGTGACATGAATTATTATTTCTTAGATACGATAAACACCAATTTCGTGATCAGCATGATTCAACTAAGTTATATGAGATTCCTTCAAGGGATCGTTAATGAGACAAGAATAGAAATTAATCCTAACCTTCTCAAATTACCATTTACTGTAAGTCTTAAGATGATTTTATCAGATGACAAAACAATTTAATCAACTAAAAAATTTCGTCAAATTTATTTACAGTTCAACAGAAAACTGGATCCACACGAATTTACATTTCAAGAATATATCCTTCCAGCCAATGTAATTTTGTAAGTGCAAAGTTTGAATTTTTGATAAAAAATAGGACGATAGCAATGAGATGAGATTGGGTCAGTTTACTAAAGGCGAGTCGAGATTTTGGGAACGATTTCTGGCCTTAATTATTAGGATGACGTAATCGTCCAGATTTTTTAAAGTGGGGGCCCATCTCCCAAACTACTGTTCGAGACCCCTCACTCCAACTTTCCTATCTTATCTTATTACCAGATAAAATAAGATGATAACCACAATACGACACAAAAAACTTATCTTTAAATGTTTACCAACAGGACAACCTTTTTTCTCTCAATGTCTGCCGGCATTTTCCTCTCGACGGAGAAAGAACAAGGGACGTTGGCCCGTTCGCTGGCGGCAGGAGTGAAAATGCGGCAAGTCTACATTTCCTATTTTATTTCTGAAACGTCCATGACTATTTTGCAAGTCGGGGCCATATTTGCGGTTCAATTCGCCCTGGTCGGATACGGGGTTAGGGGAAATTTAGGAACGTGCTTTGTCATGGCGCTACTATCCAGTGTTGTCACGATGTCGTTAGGTATGCAAAAATACTTTAGTTTAAATAATTTTATTACCAGCGGTGACGAAATATGAGTCTACCGGAAATGGTAGAAATTCATTACCACGGCGGTTGTAGATTATCATCGTGGAGGCGCTATTGTTACGGCTGCGGTAATATGTTTACTACCAAAGCGGTAACAAATTGTTACTAAAAATAGCACCACCACCACCAAAATCTACCACCGCTGCGGTAATGAATTTTTACCATTTTCGGTAGACTCATATATCGTCACCGCTGGTAATAAACGACTCAGCAAATTATTTAGGGTGTGCTAAATTTCCTTTAATAGCAATGCTGGCCGCCTCTATTTTTTCAAAGTTAAGGGAAACGATTGTTACCATAATATTTTTCATCTTGATATGCGGCATACCTTCAGGTAATTTGGAAATAATGTTTTTTGAAGCTTATATTTTAATTTATTTCAATTTAGGATCCTTCTGGCCGCTGGAAGCTGTCAATGCACACTTCCGCTGGATGTTCTACTATTTGAATCCAATCTCACTGCCGATGGTGGCGATGAGACGAGTGTTCAATAATGGGTGGGGTTTGGGGCATTTAGTTGTGAGGGTGGCTTTCTTAACGCCGATTGCTTGGTTGGTTCTTATTTCGTGTGGATATTGTGTTGTCGGTAGGATACAGAGGGTTAAGTAGAGGCCAATTTCTTGAAAATGATGGGACAATGGGCGGCACATCTTTTAAAATTGACTTACCTTTTGATTTTTGATTAATTTAATTAAAAAAATTTGTATATGGATGGTAAATATGAGGTAATATTTCAATACTTATTCAACCCGAGAATATTTTGGGATTTCTCGTGAGAATAAATCAGTCGATGATAACCCTGCTCTGGTATTATTTTACCGATAATTATCTCTAATTGTTTTTTCTCATTATTTATTTTATTATTTATTTTAACTACATCATACTTTTAGAGAAGATAAGTATGTTCATACAAAATTAAAAGGTGACATCGCTTTTCTTCCCGCTCCGCTTATTTTTCGTCCAGCAGCATAAATTTCATCGTGTAGGCGGTTAATCTATAAAAGGAAAAATAATTTAGTTAATTTAAAACACCAATAGGCATTACGACTCAAACTAATTTTTGAAAAATATTTATGGTTGGAACAAAAATTAATTTTAATTCTACCGCTTTTACTATGACAAATTTATCGCTTCACTAGAAGCTCGGAGTCTAAATCCCGCGAACGCCGCTATATTTTACATTTTAATCTAGCGATTGAATGATTCAATTTGAATCTGAAACATTGGCCGTTGTCATATTTTTACCGCGATTTTTCTCACTTTGAAAACAAGAAAGGTTGGTAGGCCGCCAGATACATGAATGGCAAATTTGGTAGCGGCCCCATCCACGATTCCTCCAACTTATTTGCAATCGAGGCCAGGCAAATTTCGCCACATCGCGCGGTAGTCATAGCGTTTCTTGTTAATGTGGACATCATTGTGAGCTTGAAGCGCTGAAAAAATTTTCATATTTTTAGGAATTTTACTAAGATTTAAAAAAAAAACTAAATAAATGTTTGAATTATTTAAAACTTACCGCGCCAGTCCCGGTCAGAGTATCGTTGTAGATATTCGTCTCAACTGGCCCCGGACAGAGCAGGGTGCCGTGAATTCGTTCCATTTTCCTCAACTCGTGCCTCAAGCTGTCAAAGTACCCCTGGAAATAGAATCTTAATTTGTAAATAATTTACAGTTGATGAATGTTTCGTAAAATGGACATATCGAAATTATTGCATATTCTTAATTTTTGCAAAAACTAATAGATCGCCAGGATTCGAACCCGGGAACAAGCTAATTTAACATGTTTGCTTACGTGCAGCGCGAATTTTGTTGGCGTATAAGGTGTGAGGTATGGAAAGCCCATTTTCCCCGCCAAACTTGACACCACCGCCAAATGACCTTGACGGCCCCGCTCATTTTTGAAATAGTTGAGTACGATCCGGTTCAAATTTACGAGGGAGAACACGTTCAAGTCGAAGAGGGCTTTATCCGTGGAAATTGGCGCCTCCTCCCAGAGCGCGAATTGACCCATGGCGGCCGCGTTTGAAATCAGGATATCGAGCTAGAAAGTTGCCATCAATTAGAAAACGTATTTCTCAATTAAAATTATGCTTAAAATTTTCATCCTGAAGGTTAAATTTTTTGCAAGTTATGCCCAACTTTTGCACACCATAGTTTACAAAACTACCTAAAAATGCTTACCAATTATAAAAAAACTTTTAGTATAAAATAATTCCAGAAAAATTAACGCCACCTAAATTTTCGCAAATTTCTCCCAATCATTCAAATTACCCACCTTTCCAAAAGTTTTCACAACTTTTTCCAACGCTTTGGCATGACTGTCGTAATCCACCATGTCGAACGGCAAGACGAGAATGGCATCCTGTTTCGTGGAATTGTTCAACGCTGTGCAAAAATTATGATAAAATACCATACAAAAAATTAGGTGTACATAATTTGCCAAAATATTTAGCATAATTACCCAAACACTCCCTCTTCACCCTCTCCAACTCCTCATTCCTCCTCGCGGACAAAATTATCTTCACATTTTTCACCTTCACCAACTCCTTGGCAATACCTGGACAAAAAATCAATTTTAGAATTTTACACTTACAAAATTTGACAAAATTATAAATCTGTATCTTGCATAAATCTTAAATAAAAAGTTTTTTGTATTACTAAATTCATGAATGATAGCCTTATAAGAAGATTTTGAAAAAAATTTACAGACAAAAAAGCGTCACCAAAAAATTCAATTGTTTTCCGAAATAAAAAAAACTGCTCACCTTCCCCAATTCCTGACGATGCTCCCGTCACCCAGACAACCTTCCCTTCAAAACGGGTCGCTAGAAATTAAAAACATTTCCTCAAATTTCATACCCTTGGCGTACTCACGTCAAATTTATGACTTTCTATGCTTCATGTTAATAAAATTTGTGCAAATTCTAGTCAAAACTTGAAAATCCAAAATTTACTGAAATAAATTGGCGTTCGAATTCGTACGGTATAAATTGCGATACTACAAATTATGAAACATGACTCCCACACAGTTCATATTTCACGCCAAATATTCCCCATAATTAATTCCCCCATACCGATATCCTTCCCAAACTTGATGTGCAAATAGGTCCAAATATCACAATCCGAGATGAACAAAATCCCCACACATATCGCCAAAAAGGCGAGAAAAACAGCCACAATTAACTCCAGCATTTCTCGACAAACAAATATTTTAACACGACCATACCCAAGAACGATTCACGCCAAACTGAGACCAACCTCGACGTGCAGAACTGTAGTGGGGGGATAGTTTCTTGTGGAAATCTACGTCTATATTTCTGTCAGTGGGACAGCCAGGGTTTGATAGACATGTCCTGTTAAATTATATGTCAGCCCAGTTCTGTTCTCTAGGGTATCCCTGCAATGCTGGAGCTTAGCATTGGAAGGATGACGGTTTGTAGTCATACAGGGGGATGTGTGGTAGCTGAGGATATTTAACGTTAATCTTTATGGTAGTCATGTATAGTATTACATGCATACCTGTTCACATTCATTCAAATTGTACGAAATAAATAATGAGTGAGTGAATAATTCATTAAATAAATGAAGATTGGGTAAATAATTTAAATTGAAGTTTACAATGAATGAATAAAAATTTTTGAACAGGTATGATTACATTATATTTATTTATGGAGCAATTAATACCTACCATATCCTAATCTTGATAAAAACCTCAGCGCTGTTTAACTTTAGTCGGGTTCTTACATACAGATATGTATATACAATGTCTGGAAGTAAACAGGCTAATAAGTAGATAATTGTGTTTAACCTGCAAATTTAAAATCTTTACAGGAATGAAAAAGGCTGAGAATTGATAGATCTTAACTTGTTGACGTGGGAATTGGAAAATTCATGGAGGAAAGTCATACTTACGTTGGCAAGCCCGTACTCCTTGTGAGTAACAGATTGATGACTTTAACCTTCAAGAGTTAGTACCGCTACGTATGTGGTTTATATCTAATTAACTAGATGATATGTAAATAAATGTGCCATATCAATTTAAAAAATCATGAAGATTATGAATTATGATGCGAGCTTACCTATACTAGTATTTTAATTCATTAAATAAACTACTTACTTTTACATCAAATATAGGCGAAAATTGGAGGAAATATAAATCCACATTCTCACGGCTCCTTACTAATTTCCTCTCTCTACAAGTTTAATTGATTACGGAGTGAAATGAAGTAATCTCTTAAAATAACTTCAGATCGATCGATCTGATTTTATATTTTTCGAAATGCCATTTTCATTAGTGAATTACAAATGTTGTTTCTGTTGCATATATTTACATATTTTATTACCATGGGGTGATTTATAGTAGAAGTTCGACCGCACTAACCGAAGTGGTCCGATCAGGCGCCCGGATAATTGCTCTGCTTGCCCTCCTCTACTTTCGGAGCAAACCAATAATTCGACCAATGAATTGAAGGGTGAAATCAAATCGATTCAGCCACTTTATCATTCCTCGCGTGTTCTGGTCAAACCAGGTTTCGCTATGAAATAACGTCGACACGTAAATTATCTTGGAGGGGAGAAAGAAAAACTTTTGGCACCGCTAATTCCCCAAAAAATAAAGCCGCGCACTCCTTTATAGTCCGGTAAGGGATAGGTTATGATGGCTTCGGAGTGAAATAAGTTTTTATTTATTTAGTGCTTTGTAAACGTCAGTTATTTGCGCGGAATGAAGTTGCCGTGGAAATTTCATCGGAACGAAAAGTTAGCTCAGAATTAAATTTGTTTGAAATGAGATAATTTCCCGCAAATTCCATGAGTCAGTTTACAGGTCATAAATGAATAAAATTTGTACGTTTGTTCCTAATTTTGTGTTGCCTGGCAACAAAATTTTGGGTGTTCGCCGTTTTTGCTCTTCTTCACGTGAAATAATGTGCAAACATTTCACGCAAATTTCATGCGAAATCGTATAAATCTTAACTCGAGTGATAATACCGCGCTATTTTCACCGTTGACGTGTGAACCGTTTTGTAAAATTGGAATGAACTTTTCATTCCAAGATTATTTTACGTGAAAAAGACGACGTGTAAACAGCACTTTTGCAGGCACATACATGGCGACTAAATAGGTGTGCGTTCTATTAATTTGACGCTTGTGGAAAAATCGTATGATTTTATGCATTATGTAATTGCATATTCTATCCTGCAATGAATTTTCAGGACCGGAAATGCAAACGACTTCTGAAATGACAAAATGTGCAGAATAGACTCTCCATTAACTTGCATCACCAGCTATTTATCACAACATTGGCACCAGAAGATCAACAGCAGCAGATTTATTCATTTTCATCCCTCGAGCTATACATATGTATAAATTAAGATATGTATAATACCGTCCCACTTGTTGACCAAGGACGATCAACATTATCCAGACTGATGCAGTAGAACGACGCTCCAGGCATGATGAGTTTTTTATTCCAATTCATGAGCTGAATTGAGTATATCTATCCACGTAGTCAACTCACAACTACTCAGTCGACCTTCACTCCACTCCACCAAGTTCAAGAACAACACGAGCAAAATAAATACGTGTCAAAAAATTATGGTTGACGAAACTGAATTTTTGGAGGGGAGTGTCTTAATTCCAAAGACGTTTCCAGATTTAGATTGGGCTTGGGTAATTTAATTTATTATTCTGACAAAGGAATTAGTCTTGAATTTAATTTGCAGTTAATTTTGTTTTTTTTTTCTTCATGAATAGTTTAACTCTGTCCCAAGGTGGTACTGGACCTACTGGAGTAAAGTGGAC